CTTTCTGCTCTATATATTCTGCAAAACGAACTTCTATAGGTATGCAATATAGTTTTTCTTTATCTGATATTCTCAGGAAGCCAAAGATATATTGGTATATCACTGATTGTACCTTGCTGGCTAAATTGATGAGCTCTATGCATTAAATCAATTCTAATGAACGTATGCGAATCTAAAAACCATATAACATATATTAGTTAATTGAGTCGTCTCTTGTGGATAGCTCAGCTAATTCTCTTTTCCTAAGCATACTTATCAAGCACGGGTAATTTTTGCTTGATTTCCTTGTTTGATTTCCTCTTCCCACTTTGGATACTCAATCATTGCTAGATAAATCGTTTCTATTATGTGTTATGACATTTTTCTTTAAGTTGTGACTGTGAATTGCATCATGAGAAATACCCATTTCACTGTGGAGATTCCAGCTACCAATCGATCATCTTAAGCGACCTAGGGTGACTAAATTTCTTGTTCAAGATTTATTTATAGTTCTGTAGCATATTGACTTCGCACAAAGCAACTTTTTCCAATGATGTTAAAACTTGTCATTTGCTTGGCAGCAACCTGATATGAAGTCCGTTTATCGATTTTAATCCTTTACTATTAATATTAATATTAAGGAATATTAAGGGACTTATTTGAGGTTTAAAGCACTTTTTATAGAATATAGGCCAGGCTATGAAATATTTGGCCTTTGTGATAAATGAATCAAGACATGCCTTCATATAACCTTTTAAACATATCAGTTTGGCTTTATATGTCGACAGCTGCCCTTATTATTTAATTCGCTTATCGCATTTTTATTCTCTTTATTAGATCACTTTGAATTTTATTTCCTTCATTCATAACATATGAGGAGAATAGATATAGCAACATATGGCAATATTTAAGTTAAAGTGATATTTTGTTTATTTTTTAATAAATATTTTCATCTTACTCTAATCTTTTTGACCTCAATCTTTTTTATTATCCAGGTATTGGAGGCCATAGGACTTGGTGAGCTTGTTGATGAAGACGGTACTCTTAGGAGCCCTAGAGATCCTGCTCCGCTATGGGATGATGAAGAAGAGCGAGACTCTGGCCCTAGTTATATGGATAACACGGAAAAGGTGCATTTTAAGAATTCAGACAACTTTTTAGCATAGTTTTGATCCATCCATTAGAGATCAAATTATATAGGGAATACAACCTCTCTTATTTATCGTTACATGAATTAATCCAATTTCTTGGATTAAGAGGAAAATTTAATTCTTTCATTGAATCTCACTGTTTCGACGCATGACGCAGTTAAGCTCTTTGTCAACATCAAGCTTTGAATTAATTGGGGATAGTGTCACTATCAATCTGACAATGAAGTAGAGGCCTTTTCTAGTTTCCTTGGTTTAATGCAGTTTACTCTGAATAGGAATGCTAATGTATGCAACCTTATTCGATTTTGTGG